TCTTGTTTTCCATATCATATTCCGCATTCGTGCTCGCACAAGGCCGGTCTGGAATAGATATATCGGCCGTTCTTTGTCCGTGGCAGGCACCGCCCCCCCCCTCTTCCCCCCACACACACACTCACTCCATACCGTCTCGCGCAGGCATATTATTTTTGTCTGTATGCGTGGTTTTATTGCCGGCGCCGCAAAATTGCCCGCACGCGGACCGCTGGTGCGGCCAGCCGCGATGCATCTGCGAGCGTCCGACGCGGTGCGGCATGCAGCGCCGCGGAAGAATTGGCGATTCCGCGCGCGATATATGCGCTTTCGCGGCCGTGCTGTTTACGCAGATGACTGTATATATACGCGCGGCTGGACCGACACAGCCCGCGGCTTCACTGGCGTCGTCCATCCTTTCCTCCTACATACGCGATGTTTGTTCGTATTCCGATATGCTGATGACGTGCCGGGGGCTACAATTGACGCAAGGAACGATAGAGATTGAGGTCCACTCACTCCGGCTTTTCTCTCCCTCCTGATGTCTTCATATTCTTTCTCATCGTTTCGTATAGCCGCCCATCTCCGCCTTCCCACTTTTCTTGTTGGGCTTTTTTTTTTCTTTCGTGCGCTTTGTTCTTATATTGGCGGTGAAAAATCCCTCACTGAAAGCTGTTTTGTTCTCTTCGGCGTCCCGCTGCAAATATTCAGCATTCAACTTTCTCAAATGCTCGCTTATGAAGCGACCCTCGCGTTGTTTTTTTCTTTATTTTATTATATTCAACCGCTTCCCCTATCACCCTTCTCTCCCGTTTGTTCCGCACAAACAGGCCACTTTGTCTCCCGCATCCCAGTTTTCTGCGCTTGTTTTCGCTCGCACGTTTTACTTCGAAGGGAAGCTGCATGGTAGAGCTCTCGTTTTGCATTGTGCCTATAATCCCTGCAATCATTGCGTCTCTTTGCTGGAAACAGCTGCGCTTGCTAGCGTCGTTGTTTGCAGCGCTATAGTGTGCCCTCTGCATGCGTGGAAGGCAAACAGTGGAGTGCGTTCGCTTCGCTTTTTCAACCCCTTATCACACTCTCCTAAAACTATCTCAGTACGACCTCGTGCCCCTGTCAGATGGTTTGTTTTCGTGCTTCTCTTTCTCTCTCTTTCTGTGGGTGAGAAGAGAGTAATATTCATGGCCAGCCAATTTTATGTTTACCACAAGGTGGCCTCACCGAACGATCTTCAATTTAGCCCTCATAGTGCTAGCTTACTCCATTTAACTTCTTAATCGGTATATATAAGGTAAAGAGTTGTCTGCAAATCTCAGGTTTCTGAAAAAAATATTTGTTAATCTTTATTGCTATATTTCCTTCAAGTACATTCGTTTAACTACTACTAAGCATGCAGTGTGCCACATTCGAGAGGTCACATCTCCGTCTCTCACTCTTTCGTTTTGCTCATTTTGATTGTTTTGCTTATGGAGAAATAAGGGCACTTGCGGAATGTTTGTAGAGGTTGGCTAAGGTATTTGTAACTAATTTAAGTAGTCCTTCGTGGCGTGATACTCCCATAACTGCTCATATCTATATTGAGTTGAAAGCTTTTTTGAAATCTATACGTTATGTAAAGGGGCTTGTTGTACTCAGCAGGCGTTGCCTGATGGATCGCGTCGCTGTGATCCATTGTAGAGTACGCCTTCATGAACATGGGTTGCCAGCAAGGTTGGCCTAAGTCAAGTGTTTCTCTTATACTATTTGAAGTTACCTATCTTGATTAATGTTGTGCCTAAAACTGGGAGTAGTCAGGTGGTTATAATATTCTGCAAGTTGCATGGTTACCGCTCCCCTTTGTGTATTACCGTTTTAAGTTTGCATAATATTTATGTGGTGTTCAAATTATGCAGTACAAAATGTCTTTAAGTTTCGCTCCTGATTTAAACAAAAACATAGTTGATCTCTCCGTCATAAAAATCAGTAAAACTCGAAAATAAAGCTTGTCTTTAGATAAGCAGATGAATGTTTTGCGGTACGTTGATCTCGCTTGCACATTGTCTGTTAATTTTAACAGCTTTAGCACCGTTCAGCGTTGATGCACACACGTTGACGCTGGGTGAAACATCTCCATCCCGGCGACTCGCGTTCATTATCGATGATTAAACAAACCTTTGTGGTAAATGTAGAAGTTATAGGTAAGAGCGTAAAAGGGGAGTTGCGGCGCGACAGCCAGAGGAGCATTGCCGATTCGATGCACAACATGGACAGTCTGCCCGGCATCTGTTGTCGTTGGACCGAGAGGACGTGGCTTCGACTGCCGTTCACGGAACTTTTTTTCTTTGCCATGTAATGGTGTGCATTTTTTGACGTCGTTTTGTGAAGGAAATACGTATGTGACTGAAATCTCGGTGGACCCAGCCATAAAACCTTCTCGTGGTAAAAAAAAAACATTTTGTTGCCCTTATCTCTCGCTCTCAATATTTTTCTTGTTTTTTTTTTCTTATTTCTGCTGCAAACGCTATCACCACCATTCAACTCTGCTGTAATTGCTATCACCAACAATAGTCTGCTTGCTACTGACCCGAATGTCAAACTTGTCAAAAAGCTAACCTATGATGACGACGATTGTCCGCTGAGATACGATCCAATTGTGGAATGCCAATCATTCGTATTTTTAAAGATACGTGAATGGCTATTTAATAGTCCTTAAAAGTTTACCCAGCCTTTGCCTTGACGATGCAGTAGCAGACGGTGTCACGTAGTTCACCAACCTTTCTGAAATTCTCAGGTTTACGTGTGAAGTGCCGAATGAAAATTTCATCCTGTTGCTAGACCTTCAGATCATCTTTTATTCATTTAGTCATGCCTGTTAGAGTTGTAAACCTAGGTGAAAGAAAAGTATTTTACCCTTCGACCGCGCTCATTCTAAGCTAATAAGAAGAGGCATAGCTTCTACTTGTATTATGAATGCTTCGCGAAAATCTTGCTCGCACCACACAGAGCCGTCCAGGCAAGTTCATGGACTAATTTGATGATTTGATTTGTGGGGTTTAACGTCCCAAAACCACCATATGATTATGAGAGACGCCATAGTGGAGGGCTCCGGAAATTTCGACCACCTGGGGTTCTTTAACGTGCACCCAAATCTGAGCACACGGGCCTACAACACTTCCGCCTCCATCGGAAATGCAGCCGCCGCAGCCGGGATTTGAACTCGCGACCTGCGGGTCAGCAGCCGAGTACCTTAGCCACTAGACCACTGCGGCGGGGCGAAGTTCATGGACTAAGGAGGGCAGGTGTTCCGGTGTTTGTTGTCTCATATGTTTTCGAGACTACTTAACAAATCGAAATCGCCAAAGGAGCTGGCTACAAAAGATCTTGAGAAAAAGCCGGGGCATATCATTCCATACTTTCATAAAGTATCTCACAACTTGTAGATGCATGGTACACCTGTGTTTCTATATACGCGCGCGTGTGTCGTTTCTTTTCTCTGTGGAGCTTGTTCTCTGTTTGCGCGGTTAATTTTAATTCAGTGAAAAAGAAAGCCAACCGACATCAGTTCTGCTCAGTCTTTTCAGCACCTTACAAACTGTCAGCCCTCTTCAACCTTCTAAGGAAGAAAACACTTGTACAGTTTCACACTGATCGCAGGACTGTTTACACTGTGTGTGGCCTCAAAATACGGTTAACCAGATACCGCTGAGTTCTGGTGGTGTTTGTATTGGACAGACTATAATCCCTTTACAAGTTTTCTCTAATAATACGGGCCGCTCACGTTCGGTCTGACCAGTTTACTCGTTCTGAGACCGGGCCTTACCGCTTCCATTCTTGAGTGACGGCCCGACCAAAACAAAAGAAGTTGTGTGAGTTCGAGGGCAGAGGCGCAGTTGCGCTGGTTGCGGCCGTACAATTGTTACCCCCCTCCCCTCTCTTCCTTCTTCCTAGTTTCACTTCTGAACGCAAACCTTCTTAGGTTAGCTTAACCCTCACCCCGGCACCCTCGGGAAACCGTATGTTTCTGTTTACCCGGGAGGTACTTCTTTATTTTTTTTTTAAATTGTCCGCCTTGGTGAAACAGTGGTTATATGGGGCGTGGCTACTGGCCCGAAGGTTGTGGGTTCGATGCCGGCCGAGGCGGTCGCGTGTCGATAGAAGCAAAAAGTTGGAGGCCTGTATGTATCTGTGTGATGTCGGTACACGTTAAGAACACCAGATCGTCAAAATTTCCCCGAACCCCTCCACAACGGCGTCTCATAATCATACCGTGCTTTTCGGACGTCGAACTCCAGATGTACCTTGAACGGTTAAGTCGCAAACCTTTGCAGCGCTGGCAGCTGGGCTACTCATTATTCTATCTCCTCCTTCCTTAGAATTCTTTGTTTTCTTTGTGTCTTATGTCTCGTTTTTTTTTTCTCTGTTTGCAGCGAGGTGGCATTGACCCTACTAGATACGTTAGTTAAGTTGTCACGAGGTAACGCGTTTAAGTGAGCGTGCTTCGTCACTAATGTTTGATATGTGATTGTCTTTTGTAATATTTGACAGCAGTAATTATTCATGCTTAGAAACGATTGAGTGAGCAGAAGGTTCATCGGTTGTGTTCGCCCGATTTCGGGCATTCGCACGGTGTCAGCAAGCAGCGAGTAAGCTGGCGATGCTCTTGGCCGTATAAATGTACCAACAAGTGCGAATGCTGAATGTGCCTTTTGTACTTTGCATTTCTGCCGTCACCTTTGGCATCTGCTGCAGCTTGCAAGTATAAACATCTGAGCGGGCGCGTCATTCCGAGCTTTATCGGCTCCAAACGTCACGTGTCTATTCGCGTGTGCCTGCAGCTGCATGTTCAAAGCTTCCGTCTTCTTCGCTCGCATGACAGAATGGCCGAAGTGTTTGCCCGAGACGAGCATGCTCTTTCCAGCCTTTGTTTCTAGTACTCCTGCATAAATAATCGCTCGTGCTGTAAGTAAGGCCCGTTCCGACATTCGGAACGCTCGTTTTAGTCGTTCGCGTTCGTTGAATAATTCCTTTGCCTCTCTTCTCTCGTGCAGGTAAGCGTCACAGGCCGTTGCGCCTGCGCGCTAGGACAGAGAGTGCTGTGAAATGACGCTAAAGGGCATGGGCGGCAGCCGTCGCTTGAGTGCTGCTGTCAACGATGACATTGGCGAGCGGAGGTTCTACAAAGGTAAATAGCCGGATTAACGGGTTTATCGAGCATTCCGTTTACCCTGTCGCGTTTGAGCGGTTTCTTGCAGAATGCAAAACTGTAGGTCCCCGATTTCTTTCTGTCGGGAGCTCGACTACATAACTTGATCGTCATTGGTGCTCGAGATATAGCGATTCGTATACGGGGGAGTGATAGACAGGCGGGAAGACTAACTTGACATGATTTGAACCTTAACAGCTCCGCTCAGCCTTGCATGCTTGTGCAGCTGTCCGTCGGCATTTGTCATTCGCCTGCTGCAAAAGTTCGAATGTATACGTGTTTATTTATTTATTTATTTATTTATTTATTTATTTATTATTTATTTATTTATTATTTATTTATTAGTACAACCTACATCGCCCAAGTTGGCATTATTGTAGGGGGGTGAGGAAAAAGTGCCGCCATATCCACGAAGTGAATGATGATGAGTAGGCGAAGCTCCGCAGGTAAACCTGGTAAACCATGAATCCTCCGTACATTTTGCCCACTCGATTTTATAACAACGCTCCCGCTAGCATACGTCGCCGCACTAAATCGAACGATTGCCTTCCACCAATAACACGCGCCATAGGTGACATCGTTCCTATTTTATAACATCTCGCATCTTTCATCATCAACTACAAGTACGGTCATCTAGTGAAGACTGCAAGAACTAAACGAGAGGTGGCTACATACAGGGGACGCACACACAGCCCACGCCCTAAGGAGCTTCGCCCCTAAAAAACGCAGTATTACAGTCGATCAAAGCACACGTTCGCGCCGTCACAACACGAACGACTCTTGTTCGAACGACTGCTAGCTTCCTTGACCGTTGTATTATTCCGCCATTTCCTTAGATTCGAAGCCGCTGCGCTTGGCGTCGATCTTGTAAGCGCCGTGTGCCGGATAGCGAAGCTCGCGGTCTGCGTCAGCGTATTGTTCTGAAAAGTGCCGGGAGTTTCACACGCGTGTGGCTTTCGTCACGCGCGCCCGTGACGACAGCGCTCGCCCGCTCGCCGTGCGCCGTTCTGAGGGGGGGGGGGGGGGATTGTCTCCTCAGAGGAGGCGGTGCGCTCAGCGTCGACGCGTGGGGCCACCTTTTTCCCCGCGCTTCGGCGCCGCGGCAGCGCTGGCGGCGTCAGGAGCGCGCTCCCGCCCTCATTTGCATATCAGAAAGCGGCGGTGGCGTCGAGATGTTCTCCGGCGCGCGAGCAAATATTCTCAAAGGCACCGCCCCGCGTGCCGGCTCGATGGAGCACCCCTGGCGCGCCCCTATTTGCATATGAATCAGCGTCCGCGCGCGCCGGAAAATTCCCCCGGTGCACCGGTGCGCTTCACCCCCGTACGGCTGCGCCCTCTCCCAATCCCTCCCTCTCCCGACTACGCATTCGCGCAACGTTTCTTGAGCAAGGCGTCACTCTCTCTCGCCTTTACAGTTCAATTCCTTTTCTTTTGTTCCGTTCTGAACGGGCCCGTCGCCTGTGCAGGGTTTGTCTGTGAACAGCCTCTGCGTGCGTTCTCTCCCATCACCCTCCCGTTTGCGTGTACGCTCTCACGTGCTCGCGTTCTTCCCGCAAAGACGTGGAAGAGCGGCAGGACTCGTTCACCTCGAAGAAGCGTGGGCCAAGTGTGCTCGCAGCAGGCGGTGCGACCCTTCCGTGAATGAGGTTCGAAGGGGCTCCCCTCTTTATTGAAGGGCGCCCCTATCACAATTCGCATATTCTCTTTTCGTTGCCTTCGCTTGGTGATGCTGTGTGGTGTGCCTGTCCTCCTATTTATCTTTCGCGTGTGTTCTTCGGTGTTATAGCTCTTTTTATTCATGCGGCGGGAGATGGGGGCAGGTGTACAAGTTTAAATGCTACCACGTGACTTAATACAGTTGCTCTTGACGTTTGTTTACAATGCAACACAGATCGCTGATTCGGGCCAAGATGTACGCCTAGAAATGGCACCTTAAAGTATTTTTTTCTCATCGCTAGTTTCGTCGTCTTTTTAGTTTTGGTTGGTGGGAGATGTTTCACATATGCTTAGGGGGCTCTCTTTTTCCCCCCAATGTCGCCACACTTAACTAGCACTCCTTTCGCGGTAGAGTGATAGAAAGTTTAGTAAGTGTTTTTAGGTCGTAATAGTAACGAAGCGACTAGTCAGTCAAGTCAGCAGTTTCTAACGTGGAGAGATAAGACGAACATGCCAAAGTAATAGTTTGTCGCTTATTTTCACGTACTTAATACATCCGTCACTAATGAACACATCCTTGAGATCTGTGTATGCGGGGGGGGGGGGGGGGGGGGGGTGCGTGCGCGCGCGTGCTTATGGTACCGCAAATGCTTTTTTTTTTAATTCGCAATGCTTAATATTTGGTTTTTTAATAGGAGTGTAGTCCATATTTACTGATAAAATATTCACCTGTCCCGAGATAGCACTATAGAAATTCATAACCTCACAACGACTTGTTGCAAAATTTTCAGTACATGACACTCGAAGGTTTTGTAGTCTTACAAATTCTTTTTCGATCTGTTTCGGTCCACCAGGCGGCACCAGCAAGTACTCACATCTGGCCAACATTACCGGACTCATTCAGTCATCTGGGCCATAACATTCTTATTGCATATGAAGAGATTGTGAAAGAATCAAGATGGCACCCGCGCCAAAGTGCCTCGGTTGTAGTCATCCCGTGACAACCGTGCGCGTGACCTTGGTGACTTGCGCAAGAGCACCTCTCTTAGATTAATTCACTTGAACACTTCCTGTAGCGAAGAAACCACGAATTTCACCATTATTGCGAGGCGGCATGTCTAGGTTAAGCAACGTAGACTTGCTAATTGGCTGTCAGATTCAAATACCTGTTGTTGTCAATCCTGGAACGACCTTTATGAATATTGTCTTTTTCTGTCATGTCCGCCGGTTTCGCGCTTTTAATGGTGATGCAATTGAGATTTCGTTCTGCGGACGAGCATCCCCGTTGGCCTGTCTTTGCTTCAAGGTGACCCCCCCAATCGTCAGCCGCATTCGAATAAAACTGAGGCCCATGCGAGCACTTTCATTGGACATCATCCAAAGGCAGGCAGCTTTGTCTGCATCAAGGGGAAGCAGCTGTGCTTTCAGGCACCCCCTCACCGAGGTGAGAGCCACGTTCTTGTGCAGCCGCTTCTCGCGCACCTTTGCCGTTTCTGTCGCAATATGCGGCGTTTTGAAAACGCGCACTTATTATAGCGGCGCCAAACAAAAAATATTTAGTTGACTCGCCGGAATTTCGTCGTCAACTGACGGGCTTCGGGCATTGTTAGGCTTTGAAATACTATTCTTTGGGTTTATTTTAATCGGTAAAAAAAATCATTTTTCTTGATAAGTGCTTAGAGTGAAGTATGTTCGATACATGCGCTGGTATGTGATCATTCGAAAAAATTCACAGAATATCCACGGCGTGAATGATGATGAGTGGCGTGAAGCGTCCGTCCATGCGTCCGTCCGTCCGTCTGTGTGTCTGTCTGTTTTGTTTGTTTATCTGTCTGGCGATGAGCACGAGCCGCCGCTGCCCTGCGCTCTGTCCATGCCCCACCAACGATCCGACACGTACGGTGACGTTCTAGTAGACTGAGAGAGGCACTCGTTCCCCGCACACCCAGGCACAGCTCTCGCAGCAGCCAATAGGAGAGTAGCGATACAGCGCCATCTAGAATATCCTCACCCAACTGCAGTTCGTAAGTACGTTTTTGAGACAGTGCATCTATTGTATTGTTCGGAAGATACTGCCCGTTACGCCGACGTGCGACAATGTATGACTAAGAGGAGCTTCGCTCCTAAAAAGTTAATCATCGTGGACCTCATGCGCTATACTGTGTAGGTTGTTTGGCTGTAGTTGGTGAATGATGGCGCAGCTTGCCTGTTGGAATATGCGCTCCATCTCGTATGCTTCGCGGTTGCTTTCACCATCCGGTATTCATGTCTCCCGCCAGCAAAATGAGTTGAGTTCAGTTTGATAGAATTTCCTCCCTCGGATTTTGCATAATGGAGCCATTGTATGCGAAATAAAGCGAATAGAAATAAGCAGCACCCTGGCGGACGTCATCAGCGCTGCACTCTTTCGAGTTCTGGCGTCTGTGGCGCATCCTGTGTTCCGTATTGACCGTGTGAAATGACTGGATGGCGCAAATTATATTATTTATTTTTTTTAGTTCCGCAGCGCCGAAATTTCAATTAAGTCTGTGGTTCTTACGAATGCAGTCGCCTTCACTGGAGTGGATCCGCCATGTCTTTGTCGCAATATTGACCAATATCAAGAGGACGTACAGCGAGAGGCTGTGGCCGCTCAATCCTCGCCAGAAGCAAGCGTGTTTTTCGAATGTCTCAGGTCATGCATCCGTTTTCTTTTCTTCTTCTGTTTCTACTTAGGGTGCGCTTGTGCCTATGTAGCCAGCGTTGGCTGAACGGGTTTCAAGACCTGGCGCGTGCACCTATATAGCTTTCTCTCGCCTTTAGGCGGCAAGGCAAGGGCCCTCGCTCTCGTGAACCAGTAGCCGCCAGAAGCAGGGGAGGTCTGAGCGGGAGGAGCTCCCGCGTTCTGTTGCTTCTGCCACTGACCCCTTGGCTGTGACCTGTCGCCGAGGCAGCGTTGCGTGGCTGTTGCCGCGATAAACGGTTTAGTTGCCGGGCGACCTGCCTGCTTCCTTTCCTCCCGCATCTCCTGCGCGAAAACCTCCTAATTCCGCGATAATTAATCGCAGCGGATTATCTCCGCCTCCGTAATCCCCCTCTTCGCTCACTCTCCTCGGCCCGAGCCTGATTTGCGGAGCCGGAGAGAGGAGCCGCGCGCAGCGCCCTCGCCTTTCTGTCAACGTTCGGCTCGATTCCTCCTCCGCCTTCCTCTCCTCCTTCGCTCGCTGCTCTTTTCCGTGGTTTTTTCACGTGTCTCCTTCGGTGCGTCTTACTCCCTCTGCTCCGTGGTGAACTCGGGTCAAGCGATCGGCCATGCACGCGCACGTGTTTACGGCCATCGGCGA